TAGATATCATCTGCAGACTACACGGTGTGTGTGTTTGTGTGTGTGTGTTGGGGTTGCACACACCTCCTCTGGCACTCCTAGTCTCTTAGCAGGGCTAAATGGAATAGACATCTTAAAGAGATGAGGTCCAAACTCCTTATAGTTCTCCATTGCAGTTTTGGAGAAGATTGTCCCCTTAAAAAAACAAACAAAAAAAAACAATAAAAAAATAAAAAGCACAGCTTCAAAAACTCAACACTGATCAGCTCATAACTTTACATACGGGGGCAACAGCGTTGACTCTGACTCCTGATGAAGCCCATTCAATGGCCAGGGTCTTGGTTAGGTTATCCACTGCTGCCCTCGCTGCACCTGTGTGGCTGGAAGTAACAGGAAACACCAGGATGTAATGTGAGGTTTATGATTGTTTATCAGTTGGTAATGGAACGCATCTTTACCCCATTCCAGGGAATCCTTTCCACATGTCTGCGATGATGTTGACGATCACACCTCCATGCTGCTTCATCCAGGCTGTGTAGACTGAATAAAGGGACAGATGCTAAACTATGCAGAGAACTCAGTGCCTTATGCAGTCATTCATACAGCTGGAACTTTTCCACATTTTTTCCCGTCTTTTCCCTTTATTTTATTGGTGCTTCACGTGGCACGCTGTAGTGTTTATTGGACAAGGTGACAGAAAATTATTAATGAGCAAATTTTGTAATCGTAAAAACCTGAAAAGTGAAGGAACAAATTTCAATTAGATTGCTTTTACTAGAATATCCATAAGCAACAGTTAGTGCAAAGTATCTCTGGAGGAGCTGTAAAGATCCAGACTGAGATGAAAAACGTAAACACTAGACATTTATAAATTTGTCATCTTGGTGTGACAGAGAAACATGAGAAGACTGGGATTAATTTAGTTTAACCAACATTTCAACATTTCTGGTCAAGCTGTAAAATTCTACAGGTGGCAGTAACCTAACACTGCATGTCACCGTAAAAAAGCACAACTGTAAAACACGGTGGTGACTCCATCATGCTGAAATGATTTCTATTTTTCCCCAGCAGGGGACAGAGAAGCTATTTATGGACTATAAAATTACGTGAAGGTAAATATTGGGTAATTCAGGAAAAAAAAAAAAAGCGAAACAAACTGTTAAAGGCATTAAGTACAGCAGAGGATTGGGGCCATTGAAAAAAAAAAAAAAAAATGACCAAAGGCTGTTGATATTTTTATTTTATTTCCAAATTCTGACTTTAATCTCAGAATTTTGATGCATTGCAGAGTTTTTTAATGATACTGCCAACTGTGGCCAAAACATAAAACTGCAGTCCTTTTCTGCTCGTTCTTGCAGCTTGTGCTCACATTTGACTTTTGTTTGTTTTTTTCCACTTTTTTCACCTTACATGGAGTTGCCATTAGTTTCCGAGTTGAGCTGGATCCCGGTCAATTCTAAATATCCATAAACTCTATCTTGAATCTAACACTTCAGTTGCATGCTAGATGGACCCATCCAACATGGACACGCTTGACATCACATCCGTAGAAACGGAGCGGGAACTCCAGACCCAAAGTAAATTCAGGAAAATTTACTTGAGGGTAAGAGATGCAGCGGTGCAGAATGACTGATGTGTCAGTCTGCTCATCCAACAATGTTTTAGTCATACAGAATCAATATTTATTTTCAATAAAATCGTACAATCCAGACTTTTGATCTCAGAATTATTCTCTGAATTATGACTACTTTTAATCTTCCTACTTTATTAAACTGATAATCCTGAGGTCTGGCCATACAGTCCTAAGTAATAAAATTTTAAG